CTGCTCTACCACTTGAGCTATCGTGACCTCAATCCACTAGGACACTAACTTCCCATCACACCCCACCTTTTGAATTTTCCCTCCTTTTTGCCTTTTTTCAAATGTGTCATCTATTTGATTCTCGGCGACAAATGAAATGGCCACGGAGAGCTTTAGTGAAGGTACACTTCATTTTTACTTATTAAATTCACTAGTTTTCGTGGTCCGCTTGACCAATTAATATCTTTCAATTAAGATATATTTTATCTCAACTAAAAAGCTTAATTAATTGAAAGATATTAATGGCATCCATGTAATAATTCAAGCATGTTTTGCCTGAGTTCTTTCGGTACTATCACTTTGTTATTAAATTACAGCTTTAAGTTAAGTTTACACTTACTTTACTTTAAGTTCTACAATCTTACTAGCTGAGACATAATAATAACGAAGCTCTTCGTTTAGCTTTTTTGGGTTTGGCCAGCCTTGAACAAGATATTCTTTTACTTTCACTAAATTTAAGTCCTTGTTTAATGCTATCTAAAATTATTTTGGCTCTCCTATATGGGAAACCTATTCATGAAATCATGCACCACTTTTCGCCTTTCCAATTGCGAATAAGGTGATCAGCGACAGTCGAACTGCTAACGAAAAGATTCTTTGCAAATTCGAACAGTTGGTCTAGGATTTCCTTTGACCAAATCTTCCAGAACATCAACATTTATGAAGAAATTCTTCCACGACCTTCTCTGCTTTCAAGGCTAATGGTTTCCTATCGAAATTTTTTAAACCATCTCTGAACCGTGCTCTCACTTACATTGCCATCGCCCAGACGTCATTATGGTTTCTGGCCGTTTGGGCACCGTTCCGACCGAGTTTAAATTCGTAAACTGAATTACGCGAAAAAAACTTGTTCAGAACTTAGTAAAGACTGAATTATTCCCAATTAACGATATGCTACTGAGGTAAATAAAACTTTTTGTTTGGAAGGGGATTAAAAAGTGTTGACATTCGTACAAAAGAATAATCCATCAAACGTAAGCAGTTTAATATATTCACAATTTTCCGTGGTCCGCTTGACCAATATCATTCAATTAATTAAGGTTTTTAGTTGAGATTAAAAAAAAACAGTGTCACGAGCGGGATTCGAACCCACTATCTTCGGCTCGATGTGCCGCTACTCTTCCACCTGAGCTATCGTGACCTCGATCCACTCGGGCACTAACTTCCCATCTCAACCCCACTTTTTGAATTTTCCCTCCTTTTTGCAGTTTATTATATAGAAGGTTCATGGAAAGAAAACCTGCAGTATTTTCCGGACAATCCAACAAAAAATAATATGAAAGTAAAGTTGTTTGGCCCCTCATCCGCGGTACGCACCAGGCAGTTGGACGTTAAGTCCTCCTGTATCACACACTTTACGTCTGTCCTCCCCATGGGCTTTCGGTATTTGACTTTGGGGACAAATACTCCTGGCCTGTATTACAAGTTTTGGGTTTGCATACCAGCAGAGCCTACTATTTTTCATTTATGTTTGAAAATGTATTTAAAATGGAATTAGTTTCTTTTTAGTACAGAACTGTTTCTGGCTACTTCCATTTACTTAAAAAAAAAGTTTTTAAATATTTCTCACCTTGACAATTAGTGAAAATATGTCAACATTTTTAGTGTAATAGTAAATGAGAATACTATCATAATTACCAGATGTTTGAACATTTTCTTCACTAGAAGTGATATGGAGATTTTGTGAACTAGTTTCTAATAACCGTTCATCTAGTGATTGATAGAAATGGTAGAAAAATCGAAACCACTGGCAAATAAAAATTATATTTGTCTATAAAACTTTCCTATGGCAGTATATACAAACAACATGATATAATATGTATACAATATATACAAACATAAAAATTAAACAGCATTGCAACAAACGCATATTTTTGCTCAGACCTCATTTGGTAAAAGTTTGTAAAGAAATTGAAAACCGCTTCAACTCCAGCTTGCAAAACTCAGGCTAAATTATAATATAATTTTCTTTTATTTACAAATTAATAAATATTTATTTTAACGCTAGAAACTAACTCGTTACACTTGCTACAGGTTTTACAAACTGGAGTCACACACATTTATTTAAATTCAAAATAAAAACAAAAGCACTAATCGCTGACTAATTTTGATCCTATTTACATTGTTAGAAACCTGAGGCACAGCCATTATTTTGAAGTATCATAGTATTATATGAAAACTAAATAATAAATAATATATATTATGGAGGAAGTTCAAAGTGGGGAACATGTGATTTGTTTGGATTTAAATTCAAACGTAAGCTTTGAGCAGAATAAATCAATCCAAGTTTACAAATTTATTACATTTTTATCATAATATATCTATTCTTAATATAAATGTATTATGCAGTCCATGAGTAAGTTTGAAGCATAACTAAGCACCAATTTTGTAACCTTTTTTTGTGTTAAGAGGGAAACATTTTTAATGTTTTCAAGTCTTACTCATGCACATTTTTTTAAAATTAATCCTCTGGGGCTTCTGCTCTACACAATTCCAGCACTACAAATGTTCATGAAAATTGTAAAAAATATATTGCTTTGTCTTATTACAACAGGGCCCCAAAAGGCTTCTTTTTTGTTTAAAAAACGTGATATTTTAAATTTTTTCTCGCTAGAGACTATTATTTCTAAAAAATCTAAAGAATACATTTTTAACAATCACTATTTTTTAATCTTAATTTGTTTAAACCAACGGTTGAAAAGTTTTTAACATTATTTTCTAAATGAATCCAATAAATTCTTTTTTTTAGTATATTCTCTTAACAAAGAAGTTTGTATCTTTAAAAGAAAAAACACGCATGAGCAATTTCATGTTTTATACTCTTTTTAGCGTATATTTGCAAATTCTCTTTTCTCTTTAAAAATACAACAGCTTCCTTGTCTCCATAAATAAAAAAAAGTTCAATCGGGGGGGCTTTTTTTAAACAAATTGCAGGTCTTTTAAGGACACTTTATCCTACAGTCTTATATACAAAATCCAATGTCTTGTACAATTTAAAATATCCTATTTAATAATATAACTTCTAATGAATTTGTTTCTAATACTTGAATTTTCTTTAATGAAAATGAAAAGAAAAACATAGATAATTAGGCCTGACACTCTTTCAATATATAAATATTTGTTTTTTAATATTTTATTTCTCAGACTTAACATACGCCATAAATCCTATTAATTATAATGGCTACAAAAATAAACCAACTATATTGGTTTGACTTCTCAAAAAGGTTACCATCTCTAAAAAAAATCCTACTTTCACACAATTATCAAAACACAATATGGCACGATTAATGCATAAGTCACATTTTCATACTTTTATGTTCATATTGTACTCTAAAATTAACCTTCGAGAGGTCGTGCTGGTGGTGGACGAAAGGTTTATTAATTCAGATTCATAATTTCAACAAGAATCTAACAATAGACGATTGTTGAATCCCAAAAAATATTGTACATAATGTTCATTTTGCTATGATTTTTTTAAATAAATGTCATGTTCAATTTATCATTGGGTTTTGTTTATTTTGTGAAATGGAAGAATTATTTTTATGTAAATAAAAACATTTGTTTATCTGTACCATTTGTATCTTATAAATTTTGTATCTTTTCACTATTTTTTTCTTTTCCTAAAAAGAGTTTCTTTTAATTAGGGGGAGTCTAAGAGATACATGGTTTTTATAAAGGTCACATTTTTTCTCCTATGTTTGGGTCTATTTTTTCATTTTCTGGTTATCATCAGACATTTTGTATAACCTACCATAAAAGATAAATTAGATCGGAAATACTAAAACAATGTTATCTATAGTATTAAATGGGTAGATTGTAAAAAAAAATAAAAATAAAAAAATAAAACAGCACTATCATGCCATTTAAAACATACTAATCATAATGCTGACATATAAAATTGAACCAAATAAACATAAAAGAGAAATTTTAGAAATATATATAACTTCACTAGTTTTCGTGGTCCGCTTGACCAATTAATATCTTTCAATTAATTAAGGTTTTTAGTTGAGATAAAAAGTCAGTGTCACAAGTGGGATTCGAACCCACGACCTTCGGCTTGATACGCCGCTACTCTACCACTTGAGCTATCGTGACTTCGATCTGCTCAGACACTAACTTCCCATCTTAACCCAACTTTTTGAATTTTCCCTCCTTTTCGCCATTTTTCAAATGTCGTGTAATCTATTTGATTCTTGGCGAAAAATGAATAGGTTACACATTTGAAAAATGGCAAAAAGGAGGGAAAATTCGAGAGGTGAGGTTGAGATGGGAAGTTAGTGTGCGAGCTGATCGAAGTCACCATAGCTCAAGTGGTAGAGCAGCAGCGTATCTAGCCAAAGGTCATGGGTTCGAATCCCGCTCATGACACTGAGTTTTTTTATCTGAACTAAAAACCTTAATTAATTGAATTATATATAACTACGTTGAACAATAATTCTTTAAACGAAAAAGCAGATAATATTTTTATGGAGTTATTTTTATTACAACTTAATTAAACAACTAAAAATTTAATGACTTGGACTATCACTACTTTAAAGAAACTCTTTTTAAGAGGAGAAAAAATATACATAATAATCTACAGAAATGGAATCAACTACAATAATAAAACATCAATTTTGTTAACAATAACCCTACTGAAATATTAAAAAAAAAAAAAAAAGGGCTGCGCCACCACTTGTATTTTAACGGAGGCGCGACCCTTCGAAGGTTAACAATATAATAAACAAAATTGCTTAATTAAGACAGGCAGTCGTTACTTAAAATGTAATTATTGCCTTAAGTGATTAAAGTTTATTTGTATATGTATAATTAATTGTATATGTAACTAGACGTTTTGTATTTTTAAGCCCTTAATATTAAATTTGTCTTTTTATACATGCTAATTATGTTGAAAAAGCATTCTTTGACTGTTCAAGTTTCTGTTGCATTATTTTCAATAAAACTTTAATCTTTTTTCTGTTTTTTTGTTTTTAGTATTAATTTAATAAGGAAGACTCAGTCATCCTGAAAAATGTTAAAATCGAAAGTCATCCTTTGAAGCATGTAAATTGTGATATTTCTTCATATTACTGAAATCACTTTTTTCCTATAAAAGAAAAACAATTAAGAAGAGGCAACAAAAAATTTACAGTTAGAATATTACCACATCAGAATCAGCGCTTCATACAAAACGCTGATTAAGTATTTCTCATGGTCGGTGGTGGGGCTGTGAGCAGGATTCGTACAGGCAAGATGATTCGCTGCAAGAACAGCATATGTCGCTAGTGTAGCTACTGCTGCAGTCCTCGTCACAGCATTCTCTAACTGAACAGTCGCTGTAGTCTCCTCCTCCGCATTCTTGTGTCCGTTGTTGATTTGCTATTTAAAAAAAAAATTATCTTCTACAAATAAACACACAAAACATGTGTTTACCTAAATGTCTATTTATTGGGCTATGATGGTTTGGCTGAATAATATCAAGTATGGCGCAATTATCCCTGTATTCATGTCTCGGCCTGTAGTTGTCACGGTTCAGCCTATATAACAAATTAATTTATTCTATGTTTACAGTTTTTAATGTTTATTCATTACTTGGAAATTTGTTGCTCATATAAAAGTGAAGTGTTTTCATCAGGACGTTCATTCCTGGAATCGCTTCTCTGCCCATGTCTGAGAGATTTAGAGCTTGGTCCATAGCTGCCTTTTGATGTTCTTGTGCTTGTCGACCTCTCACCTGATGATTCCCTTCTATGATTTCTCTCACCGACCTATAATTATATAAATCAGATTTCACCGTGGTTCAATGTTTACAGGCATACTTGGATAGAATGTTGCGACGCTGTGTGGTGAGGGATGTTGTTGTGCCATGTCGGTGTGTAGCTGTAGGTGCTTTCGCTCCTTGGTGGACCCCGAGGAAGTTCATAGAGGCTTTCTCGTGACATATTACTCCTACGAACACCCTTCGGACTCTAAACAAAACAAAATTTTTTTTTTCTAATATGATTGGTCTTTTAAGGACGCTTACTTGGCAATTCACTCTTGGCGATATACGGTGGTCTGAGACATCTGAACTCGGGTGCATGTATTCACCCCAACTAGGATCCTCCATATTTTTATCATTGTAGATATGCTGTTGGCTCCTTATTCTAAAATGGTTTCCATCTAAAAAAATTTAAAAAAACATACTGGTGACAAATCCTAGAGATAACAAACTGCCGTTTTTTTATTATTGTTGTATTTATGCTTCGGTGTGCTTGGAATTCTAATGGTTTACAAATTACTTTATCTGTTGTATTTTTGAATGATTTGTTTGAGTTTGTGGCACAGATATTTTTTGAATTTTTATTTTACACTTGTGAGTGAAACAAGTTTGCTTCGTGTGAATGGGATCCCTAAAAATATCATAACACACTTATTTCAACCGTCGTTCCAATCGTATTTGTTATATATTTAAGTCATGTGAAGTTATTGTTCGAGCAAAGGACCCATTGGTGGATTCCCTCACAAAGAGATGGGGACGGGTTCAAGGATAGAAAGTTAAAAAGTAAAGGGAATCCATCGTCCGATTCCTGACTAACTATTGAATCCTTTTTACTGCCCCCTGTAACTTTGCCCGAAGACTACAGCTTCGACCCGGAGGATGAGGTGAGTTACCCAACAGCTGAATTTGATTTATTTTCCTTTTATTCATTTTACAACGGTTGTTGCACCAAGAAATGAGTAAATATTTCTTGAAAATTGCTGTGCATGTGACTGAGCATACTGGGCTGCAAATCTTGCCCATAGCATAACCTCGGCATTGGTTCCGAGAAGTATACCAGATTGGTTCAAATCATATTTGTCTGATCGTTCGCATCACGGTCTACAGCAGAGAACAGGACGTTCTTCTGAAATTTTATTTGCGCATCAACGGTTGTTGCACCAAGAAATGAGTAAATGTTTCTTGAAATATTCTGGGCATGTGACTGAGCATACCGGGCTGAAAATCTTGCCCATACCATAACCTTGGCATTGGCTCCGAGAAATATGCATGATTGGTTCAAATCATATTTGTCTGATCGTTCGCATCACGATCTACAGCAGAAAACAGGACCTTCTTCTGAAATTTTATTTGCACATCAACTGTTGTTGCTCAAAGAAGTTAGTAAAAGTTTCTTGAAATATTCTGGGCATGTGACTGAGCATACTGGGCTGAAAATCTTGCCCATAGCATAACCTCGGCATTGGTTCCGAGAAGTATACCAGATTGGTTCAAATCATATTTGTCTGATCATTTGCATCACGGTCTACAGCAGAGAACAGGATGTTCTTCTGAAATTTTATTTGCGCATCAACGGTTGTTGCTCAAAGAAGTGAGTAAAAGTTTCTTGAAATATTCTGGGCATGTGACTGAGCATACTGGGCTGAAAATCTTTCCCATACCATAACCTCGGCATTGGCTCCGAGAAATATGCATGATTGGTTCAAATCATATTTGTCTGATCGTTCGCATCACGATCTACAGCAGAGAACAGGACGTTCTTCTGAAATTTTATTTGCACTTCAACTGTTGTTGCACCAAGAAATGAGTAAATGTTTCTTGAAATATTCTAGGCATGTAACTGAACATACTGGGCTGCAAATCTTGCTCATAGCATAACCTCGGCATTGGTTCCGAGAAATATGCATGATTGGTTCAAATCATATTTGTCTGATCGTTCGCATCACGGTCTATAGCAGAGAACAGGACGTTCTTCTGATATTTTATTTGCGCATCAACGGTTGTTGCACCAAGAAATGAGTAAATGTTTCTTGAAATTTTCTAGGCATGTGACTGAACATACTGGGCTGCAAATCTTGCCCATAGCATAACCTCGGCATTGGTTCCGAGAAGTATACCAGATTGGTTCAAATCATATTTGTCTGATCGTTCGCATCACGGTCTACAGCAGAGAACAGGACGTTCTTCTGAAATTTTATTTACACATCAACGGTTGTTTCACCAAGAAATGAGTAAATGTTTCTTGAAATTTTCTGGGCATATGACTGAGCATTACTGGGCTGCAAATCTTGCCCATGGCATAACCTCAGCATTGGCTCCGGTTACTGAGCACGAGTAAGCCAATGGAGCAAAACCACCGACAATAATATTTGAATTGTTTAAATGTAATAATTGAAATATATGTTTTTATTTTATGGCCAACAATTATATATTTACTTACTGGAATATATATTTTGTTGAGTATTATTTGTATTATATTCAACTGATGGCGTACTTTTTGACTCATGCATTTGACCATGGATCTAAAAATAAAATAAAATGTAGTATAATTATAAAATAAACGAAAACTATTTGAACAACACACATTGTTTATTTCAGGGCTGTGCCTCAAAGGGCAATTCTGAGGTCTAGCAAGTAAAGTCGTCGTGGCATAAGGTGTAGGCTGTTCTTTGTTTGCATTGCCCGTAGCATAATACGTAGCTAAATTCTTGGTGTCGACTTCAGCATAATCGGCACATTCCTGGTCTGCTTCAGTCGTGTCTTGGTCCCTGTCAGACTTGCCTTCACTCTGCCAGTCGCGATCCAGCCAGACACCGCCGTCTTTTGGTATCGTTCTCATCAAAGATAGATTGTTCGTGTTCACTACAGGAACTAATTTTAAAAATTAATATCATTAAGAACGGTTAGAAAGCTAATAATTACCGGATAGATGACCTAGTTGTTTGTTGTTGTTTCTTCTTCTTAAATATAGTACAGAAGAACAGGCTAACCCAAGTAAAAGTGCCATCACAACGACAAGAAGAACTAGCCATGTCTCTCCACCCCTGGGTGCTCTTAAGCCTCTCGCATGACCAGGAAAGAGGGTGATGTGCTCAGACCATGGGCCAAGTCCTATTGCTGTAAATGTAGCTACTCGTACTGAATAAGCCCCCTTTGATGTCAAATTATTAAGTAGGATGTTAGTCGTCCCAATGTTTAAGGTCATCTCTGCAAGTATTTTTGTACTATTTCCCTTCACTTGAATCTTGTATCCTTGAAGGATCCCGTTATGGTGCTCTGTCGGTGGCTGAGCCCAACGAACATATGCAGCAGTAGTGTTGACAATTTCTATCTGAACGTTTTGTGGTGGCTCAGTTGGAACTGAAAAAAATTTACATATGAAACAATATCAACCATAAAAATTTTTACTATATAAACATACTGTCTTCTAGTGTTTTGACTATTTTTGAAATAGTTGGGTAGCCCTCGACAGATTTGAAGTAAGGGCTTAGGAAAAACTCGTAGCTCGTGAACTTCTTAAGATTGGTCACGATGTGCTCGCTGTTTTCAGTCTTAGGCACTGTCACCATTTGGAATTTATGAAAGACAGACGTTTTTTCTCTGAATCTAATATAAACACCTTCATAGTAGTCGTCACTAAGTACCTGAGAACCAGAAGATATTATCACTGTTAAAAATGTTATGAAATAGATTTCAATTAATTAAGGTTTTTTTTTAGTTGAGATAAAAAATCAGTGTCGTGAGCGGGATTCGAACCCACGATTTTCGGCTAGATACGCCGCTACTCTTGCCGAAGATCGTGGTTTCGAATCCCGCTCACACTGACTTTTTTATCTCAACTAAAAAATACCTTAATTAATGAAATATATTAATTGGTCAAGCGGACCACGAAAACTAGTGAATTTAATAAGTTATGAACTAGAGCTTGTGGCTAAGCTGTTAATTTTGAAGCTTCATGGATTGTGTATTTGATTGATTTTGTCAGACAAAACCAACAAAATTAGCCAGATCAGTATGACCAAGCATGATTAAGCTAAAGGGTCATTTTTGATGAAACTGCTGATAAATTTTTTTAAGTACCTCCCATTTTGTGTTCACGGAAGTAGAAGAGAGTGCAGTGAGTTCTTTAAAAACTACGATTCTGTTGGCCAAGCGGCTTCTAGCTTCATCCAGTTGATGAGGGGCCATAGCTTCAGCTCCTTCTCGCAAGGTCCTAGCAGGTTCAGAAATTCCACTTGGTATCGACAACCCCTGGCTGTTTTCAGCTCTCACGATGAACATATATCCCGTGTCAGGTTTCAAATCCGATAGCTAAACAAAAATCACTTATCAAACTGTCAGCACATGTAGTAAATATAACATACCGTATATGTATGGCTGATTATGCGATGGGCAGCCATGACCCATCCGGTTTGTAGTTCTGGGCTGAAATACTCCAAAGTGTAGCCGATTAGGGTAGACGTACCGGAGGGAGGGTCCCAGGCGACTGTGAGTGAATTTTGGGATGCGTTCACAACCCTGGGTGTCGACGGTGCTCTTGGGAATGTGCTTGGATCTGGGCTTCTGTGAAGATCTGCACCGGGAGATCGTTCAACTGTGAGATAACTCGACCACCGGCTCACACCCGACTCGGATGATCCAGTGCAAGTATACTCTCCAGTATCAGATATGTCTAATTCTAAGAAAATACAATTTCATTAATACAAAGGAAGATTTGAAAAGAGTAATTCCTGTCATAAATTTGAATATAAAATTGTTCCAAATGATTTTCTATTTTTAACTTACCATCTATTCTTATAGTCCCTGAGGGTAAAATTGTGACGCGATCCCCGTCTTCCAGTTCAGCCCCGTCTTTGTACCAGACCACTTTCGCCGGTGGGTTGGCAAGAACTTGACATGGCAACGTAGCAAACGACTGCAAAGGCAAAGTTTGGTTTGTCGGCCCGATTTCGATTATTGGAGGAGGTTTGTCATTCACCGATGTCACCTAATAACGAACACCATGTCAGTCAATCAAATTATGCATGTGATAAAACGTAAAGATACAATATGAACACATTCCCTTCGTCGGCTCTTTTCACCTCAAAGAAGCCGACGCCTTATACAAAAATGTCTTTTCTATACCGACTTCCTTCCCCACCCCTTCAAAATCCAACGTATATAAACACAAAATAGCAAAATCTCACTGGCACGACACGCAAGAATGGCACAATTACACAGAAAACAAACACTTTGAGTGAGTAGAAATACTTTGATTGAATACAAAAAATTTTTTTTTTTGCATTGTATAAATTCACTTTTTTCCTCATTCTACATGTATTTGTTAAATGTACACAATGTTTGTAAATCCCAGACCCTGAAGATGATCTCAATAAAGATCGAAACGTTGGCACGATAAAGAAATTTTTTTTCTGAAACCTACATCACACCAGACCGCATCTCACGATTTCTGAATAATAAGTAAATAATTTGAATCCGTTCACCACACAAATTTCAGTTAAGTTAGAATCTCAACAGACTGGCTTCTAAAATTTTGTTGGAGAGCACCAAATACAATTTCGGAAAATGTACAATTTCGGAAACTCATTTCATCGTTAGACAAAATAAGAATATACCCCAGAATTTGACGGATTATCCGATATCGTAATGCTGAAGAACCTTCCAAAAGCCTTCGGTTCTTAGTCTACTAATATAATATCAAGTTCTTCTTGGGCTATTTCGCTGGAAAAGGAAAAAAAAAGTATTTATTTAAAAACAGAAGAATCCTGCACAAAACCAGGCTAGCTATATGCTTATTAATCTCTTGAGCATACTAAGTTATGTTTTTGACAAAAGGATTCAGCATCGTCTCTCTACGCTGGAAACCATACTGCTTAAGGACAAGTCTCATTTACGTGCCAAAGTTCTTGTTTTAATTAAGTTGAAGCGAATTAAGTTGACCTCGGTCCGCTTCGCTTCTACTTAATTGTAGGTCGATATAAACATAAACAATAATTCTTTTTTTTTTTAAATTAATTTTTACGAGGATTTTAAATCACATTAACCAACTCTTATAGTCAGTACTTGAAATAAAAATAAACATTTTATTTATGGCCAAAAGACAGAAAATAAAAAAAATATATCAAAATTTCAAATCCATTTTTTAGCAGAATAATATGTAGATAGATAGTTAAGTAGATAGATAAATAGATAATAGAGATTTATAGAAAGGGAGAGAGAGTGAGAGACAAGGAAAGAGACACAGACAGACAGACAGACGTTAATAACTTTTAAAACAATTAGTAGTTTAATTTATCACTTTAATGAGAACGTAGTTAATGCTTTAATGCGTCTGCTTCTGAAATTTTCAACCACAGGAGGCGGAATTGATAATGTTCCGTGCTGAATTTTGCCACTGGCGTAATAATTCAGAGGAAAACAAGGTTCGTCCATTAGCGACATTACCTGAAGGTATGCCCTTGCAGTCGTCGAGCCAGCCACGCTCAAAGCCGTACATAAGTAAAGTCCTGCATCCTCCCTGGCGACACCTTTCACGTTAAGCTGGCCCTTAGGGCTGACCCAGTATCGGCCGTATTCATCCCTCGGGAACATGAGGTTGGGATCCCCTTCGCGCAGCCAGTAAATCGAAGGCGGTGGGCTTCCTCGGGCGACGCATTCGAATTTGGCGACACCGCCCAAAGGGACGGCTTCGTCTTCGGGCTTGACGAGGAACACGGGTGCGGCTGAAATAAATTAAACAATACAAAAAAGTTCGAATTAAAATTTTGTTTTTACTTTACAGTGGACGGTGAGGATCGCCTTGGCGGATGCCTTGCCAACTGGATTGTCCGCTTCGCAGAAATATGCACCCTCATCGTCCGGATGCACCCTCTCAATCTTCAAACTGAGTTCTTCCGTGACCTCCGACCTTCCAGGAGGGATTTTACCCTCTTCCCTTTTCCACTGGACCTTGGGGGGCGGGTCTCCGCTCACCTCGCACTTCAGCTCGACAGTGGATTCAGCAACGGCTGTTATATCCTTTGGGGCCTTCGTGAAATAAGGCTTAACTGAAAAAACACAAAAATTAAAAAACACTGTAGCTAATAATGATTTATTCGCAGAAAATTAAAATTAAATTCATAGATTAAATATTGGAAACACTGACAATGTCTCCCAGACGTCTGTGGTGTGATGTCCCTGTAGTTTGATCATTAACGATGATTGTGGTCTGCCAATCTTCGTCGGAAAATAACAGGACATTCTTTCTACAAACTTATAAAATTGCGGACTAAAGGGCAGACCCACAGACACATCGCTGATGAGGGCGAGAAGCAGAAACGCGCCTGACAGACAACAGCAAGGGCAGACCATAGTGATTAGAAACTACTAAACTACATATTCAAAATTGCCTAACCCCCCTTTAAAAATTTCCTTGTTTATTAAACAGTATTAGTACGAATAACTATAAAGTTCCATTTGGCCTACCGATGGATCTTAAGACACAAGACATAGAATCAGATGTATAGTCCCACTGCCATGTGTCATCACACCACTTACAATTCCATAAGCTTGTACAACTATTTTTCAAGAAAATATCTTGCAAATTGAGAGATCTATTTCAATCTGAACTAATAATACAAAACTATCATGACAGATGGTGGTGGATCATGTCACCTCAAAGGTCTGAATTGCAGCATATGCCCAACAACTCGACCGGGCCTCAGTACAAGCAGGGAGAGGAAGCATTTTTTTGTAAGAAACTATCATCAAATATCATTGTAATCATATTTCAAAAACGAACCCTTCTGAGGTGTATGAATTCATGTTAGAAGGTGATAGGAGAAGAGTGGGTTATGGTGAAGAAACTCCCTAGTCAGCGTTTAAAAGGATACATATAAAACGGAAAAACGATTAGTAATAAACGATAAATCCTCTTTTTCGTTCGTCATCAGTAAGACAGGCGAAATTCGGCTCTGATTTATTTGTAAAAGGTATAATCAATAATGGTCGAAACGAACTGAAGGGAATCGAAGTCCCCAGGGTCCTTCCCGGCGATAAATCCCCTCTCGTCGCTTCCCGGGTTAATCGAGCTTGCAAAAATATATTTTTCCTTTACGAGATGTTTCTACTTCATAGCTTCGTTTACTATATCGACGTACAAGTTTCCTGACAACTAGGAAAAGCCGTTTCACACGGACAACCAATAATTCTTACATAAAAAGTAATCTCACATGCAATTTTACTGTGGGACTAGCATGCAGCAATTCTGTAGCGAATAAAAATCCGCAATAATGCCAATTATAATATTTATGCCCTTCACTTCTTAAATAATCACAAAGGCTAATTGTGTGTACTTTTCCTGTTTATAGTAAACGAATAAACAGGGAGGTTATATTAAACCTGTGCCCATATTGATTACAAGTTACTTTGTACATTTGTATCATGTTCAAATTAATCGGATCAACAGACACAAAGAAGTCTTTTGCAAAAACGACACCAGTTTCGTAAATATCGGTTGCCATATCTTTTTGCAAGTATAGTCCTTATACATCTATGTTTTTCAAGTTCAATTGAAGCATTTTTGCTATGCCAAATTGCCAATAATGTAAGAAATCCATACGCCTCCCATGCCCACTGGGCACTTGGGAGCTGAATATTTATTCAATCTTTGGCGCTTCGGGAGAACGTTTTTTATGACTTCCTTCCTATGTCTCGGATCATAGTACACCTCTTAAAAGTTTCATATTCTGTTGCCGAAGCCAAACCGAGGGTACACCTATAGTTAGAAAAATTTCTGGTGGTAAAGTGTTTATTTCCACGTTTCTCTCAATGCCGACAGTTGCATTTTCCCTCTGCTAAACCATTCAACCATTGTCCATCCTAAAGCCTGGTGCGCTCCACCACCGGTCTAAATGATAGCTTTGTCTGTTTGGTGACCAAAGACCAGCCAGCGCCCAGCAAGGTGGACTACTGTGCTAACTGCATGAAGGAGATGATAATATTAATAAGGATACTAGAACAGGGGTTTGGTGTTCTACTGCAGTCTGTTGGCTTATTTTACTTTTCCTAATTCTTTAGTACCCTCAATTGAATCAATCGTTCTATTAAGAAGTAGAAGATATTAAGAAGACTGTCATTGCTACAGTTCTTTTTCTTGGGTATTCTCGGTGCTCCAGGTTGTCTTGTGTCAGGTTATATCAGTGGTTGCGTATTCAAAGATATAATGAGTGGCAATTTCTACCTCGACATTACACAGCCGACAAATGGGATCATCATTAAAATAATGATTAAAATATTAATACAGCCAAGTTGTGCAACTGTTTTGTCGGTCACCAGTGACCAGACCTGAAACACTCCACTGATTTTACCTTGTCTAAACGTAGCAATGTACCAGTTTTGGTGAACATATTTTAATCGTGTTTTTACTATGTCTGGAGGTCTTCTACTTTTCATTTTGTTTAGTGTGGACCCTTTCTGAGATGGAGTCTATTACTGATCTTGTTAAGCCAAATGTAAGTTCTGTTCTATTTATGGCGTTACCGATCCTCCTCAGGCCAGTTTTTCTGCTATTATTCAGAAGTCTTTCGTATGTTATGTTTTTCCAGATTTTGCAAATTTTAGGCGTAAAATTTTCATGGCTAATGCTTTTATGGCTGTTTCGCTGTCTAATCATTTGAAGATTTTTTGTCAATGTGTGTTTTAAGATTTTTATTGCACAAGAATGTACAATATATAATTTAGCTAGCAGGATTCTAATAAATTTGAACGCTATCTGGTAAGGCTTGCACAGAATATACCTGACGCAAATCATGGTTTAGTTTAGGTGGCATCTGTATACAGTATAAAAGTTTGTAAGTATATAGGATGTTGCAGGTATGCAGATGAGAGCTGTGAGGCTGGCACTCTCAACACGACACGCAAAGATGGCACAATTACACAGAAGACAAACACTTTGAGCACTGAAGATGATCTCAATAAAAGATCGAAACGTTGGCACGATAAAGAAAATGTTTTTCTGTAACCTACATCACACCCGACCGCATCTCACGATATCTGAAAAACAATCTATGGAATGAATAATTGAAGTCAGAGTAAACAACTACTGCAGGCATTCCAAATTGATGTTATCAAGTATGAAAGACTGTAAATTAAGAAGATTAGTGGTTGTAGATCAGCCTTTCGGAGAGCCATGTTGGTTTGGACTTTCGAATGATTATTTCTTTGAATTTTGACGAGATTAAAAGCAACAAATTTTCAAAAGTATATAACTTTGAATAGTGACATTTTTTATCTCACCTAAAAACCTTAATTAATTGAATGATATTAATTGGTCTAGCGGACCACGAAAAATAGTGAATTTAATGAATTAAAATGAAGTATACTTCATTAAAGCTCTCCGTAGCCATTTAATTTGTCGCCGAGAATCAAATAGATTACACGACATTTGAAAAATGGCAAAAGGGAGGGAAAATTCAAAAAGGTGGGGTTGAGATGGGAAGTTAGCGCCCGAGCGGATCGAGGTCACGATAGCTCAAGTGGTAGAGTAGCGGCGTATCAAGCCGAAGGTCGTGGGTTCGAATCCCGCTCGTGACACTGACTTTTTTATCTCAACTAAAAACCTTAATTAATTGTAAGATATTAATTGGTCAAGCGGACCACGAAAAATAGTGAATACTTTGAATAGTGATTGGTCTCTTTTTGATTTGCAAAGCTTGTCTCCAATTTTAAAGACTGGAATAATAATTGTGTATTTAGGGCACTCAGGTTACGGTCTAAAAATTAGAGATTAGTTGAAAAGTGTAGATTAGATTGAGATTAAGCCTGCGGATGCAATTGTAAATGCTAAATTATACATATTTGAAAGATTACGAATATATTAAAATAGTCTATTCATTTATATACATAAGAAAACGAACCGTGGACGGTGAGACTGGCTAAAGGAGATTCCTTCATCCCAACAATGTTCTGGACGATGCACTGATACTTTCCTTCGTCATTCGGTTTGACCTGCGTTATTTTCAGATTTCCACCGTCGACCACCTTCACTCTGAAAAATAAACAAAGCAAATTTTAAGTATTTGGGGATGTTTCTGGCAAACGAATTGGCTCTGGTGACAGATGTTCACCTGTCGTCCAAGTCGATGACTTCCCCGTCCTTTTTCCAGAGTAAGGACGGCTCAGGGTTCCCCTTGGGAGGACCGCATTCCAAGACCGCTTCCTCCCCCGCGGCTACCTTCAGGTCCGAAGGAACTGTGCGAAATTCATCACGTAGAACTGAAAAAAATAATATGAAAACTTAAATTGTTAAAAATGAAATGCATGAATAGTGGACCTATTTGAAGGAAGTTAAATCTAATACTCATTAAAAGATGAAGTGGCATCATTCCCCAAAAAAAACGTAGTATCTAAGTATGTATAACCATAGAACAACGGTTCATGTGGAGAAGACATAAAAGCAAACTTTTACTTAAGGCTAAGGAACTACTAAACATTGGACAAAGATGGGGCCCACGATGACGTATTGGCTATATGCCACAACGGACAGACCAGACGTCACTAGCTTGAAAAAAATCCTAAGAAGAACAACAAAAGTTGTAAAGTCTAAAACGATTAGATAGTCCTACCATGACAGGGGTAGTGCATACTTATCAATAGAAAACTATGGAGACCCATGCAGGAAATAAAACCAGATCTAAAGAGGAGCAGATTTTTTCTTCTTCAAATAATTGAAATAAATGTGAAAGCTATAATGTAACTGACTACATGAGAAAAAAAAACAATTTCGCAGACCCTTCCATAGACGTAGCCATAGACAACAGAGAACTTTGGAAGGCAGTCAAGAGGGCCTATTTATGTAATCCATATGGCTCAATGATAAAACAGTGCATAGGTGTAGAGGTAAAAAATTCCTAGCAAAAATCGTAGGACTGGTTCCAATTATTTCCAATTGAGGTTGATGCAATTCAATGGTAATAATTCAGAAATCGTGAGATGCGGTCTGGTGGATGTAGGTTTCAGAAAAACATTTTCTTTGTCATGCCAACGTTTCGATCTTTATTGAGATCATCTTCAGGGCTCTAAGTGTTTGTCTTCTGTGTAATTGTGCCATTCTTGCGTGTCGTGTGGGCACTATCAACACATCACACCATACCGCCCAAAACACAAGCACATAGTAAACTTATGATGAAACAACCCTCACTAAGACTGGCAAAAGAACTGCTGCAATTGGAGAAGGCCAAACTCAGAGGAGTGGTAGGACTAGTAACCTGTCACTGGCATCTGAGAAAACATCTTCACAACATGGGTATACAGCGATGATCCCATTTGCAGATTATGTAATGATGAAGAGGAAACAGCCACTCATATCATCTTTGAATGCGAAGCAACAGCTCAATGGAGATTTAACCTAACTTACGGAAAAAACATAAGGAATCAAATTGCAGCAGCGACAGTTAATGACCTGATACTTCTAAGAAGAAGGATTGAGTCTATTGCACTGAACTAAGGAACTAGGAAGGTACAATATGCCAAAAGGCTGCAGTGGCTGGGGAGTGCAAACCCAGCTTCCTAGTATCCTTCTTCACCATACGATACCATACCATAAGGGTCACCACCTGACAAATAGGCTAGGTTTATCAGTCCCACAGTTCGTTTTGATATAATATTTATTGAAAGGGTCCTACGCAACGTCATAGAGGAGATGTCTGTTGAGGAAGACAATGCACTGTTCTACGCCAAATTTCATTACGAATATGGTACATCGCTCATTAAAAGAGATAACAAGCCGTCGAATGTAGATGTGAAAGAAAACATCAAAAAAATTAATAAATGAGAAAATTTAGTTAGAAATGATACTGATACTTTATTTTCCTTTATGAACCCTCCGGAGACTTATTATTCTCAAGTGCGCATTGGCAAATGTTGGATTTGGCGTAGTAGTATTGCGATTTTATATATAGGGCATAATATTATTGTGCGAAGGGCTATTGAAAAATCGATAATCGCATCAACCTTCTCGGAAATATCAAGAAGCTTTTTTAAGGTGCCGGGGTGGGACTGAGGTACTGATACGCCCTGAAAAGAGCTTATCATTATGGCCGTTCCTAAACATCTTCAGATAGCGACCTCCTTTCGTTAAAAGATGTTCTTTTTATCTCGCCTCACGTATTTTCCCTCAGAAGAAATTTGGTGATTTTTATATATGTTTATAGCTTTATATTATAACTATTATTATTATATATAAAGCTAATGATAAAAAGGGTTGTTTTTTTATTGTCAGCTGGCAGGGATGATAATATTTTTAGAAGAATCGTCCGGGTTAATAAGGTAGAAAGAAAATGGTATAAAAGTGTCGTCAGCACATTCCGCTCCGGGCCGTAATTCAGACGGAATTGCCCTTTCACGGCATATTCGACAGTATTGCCTTATCCATAAGTATATGCGCACATATGGTTATAATGTTTTTCTCTTCAATCGGGCCGGCGCGATATGAACGAAAATCATCGTGGAAAATTGCAAAAACACCGGTTTTGATCGTCTTGTCGAACGGGTTTTGTGCAACCGAAGGATCAATATCGATCATTTCCGCTCTGTATAATATCTACTGGACCTAAAAATTTTTTTTCATTCTCTCATCATGAATTTGAACACAGCTCTAAAACTCTTTCGGCCTGTTAAAAACGGTGGCGCAACAAACGTCTGTATTATGAAAACTTTCATCTCTGCATACGTTCCATAAATTATAAATATATCTAAAAGAAAGTCGACGCTAATATTAACATATTATAATTAATAAGGTTTTTAGTTGAGATAAAAAAGTCAATGGCACGAGCGGGATTCGAACCCACGATCTTCGGCTTGATACGCCGCTGCTTTACCACTTGAGCTATCGTGTCCTCGATCCACTCGGACACTAACTTCCACTGAAAGGCAAAAAGGAGGGAAAATTCAAAAGGTGGGGTTGAGATGGGAAGTTAGTGTCCGAGTGGATCGAGGTCATGATAGCTCGTAAGTCCAAAAAGTAGTAAACTGTTTAAAACTAAAGTGAAATCACAGCGTTATTGTCGTATTTCTTTTTTTTTAAAGGTAAAATTACATTATAAAATTTCTTAGGTAAATTAAGAGTTAAGTACTTTACTTGTTAATAAAATAATCTTGTGTTTGTACAGAGCAACTCAATTTAGCTTTATTTCATTCCCCGACGCTGGCAAAAAGGAGAGAAAATTCAAAAAGGTGGGGTTTGAGATGGGAAGTTAGTGCCCGAGTGGATCGAAATCACAATAGCTCGATACGTAACGCCTTGTTGACATAGAATGAAATAAAAGATCTTTAATTTTCAAATTTTGAAATAATCTTGAATTATGATAAAATTCATTAGAGTTATGGAATTTTATATGGAACGCCGGGCAACAACTGGAAAAAAATTGCCCTGACTGATCCAATCATAAAATATAACTTTTGTTTTCTATAAAAATTCGCATTTATTTCGAATGTTAGAGGTGCTTAAAATTAATTAAATGTTTTTTTTTATTTGCAAAAACATGCCTGTTGGCCTACATTACCGAAGCATCTTTTGGTTTTTGTATTTTTTAATGGCAGTAGGGTTTTACGAATAATTATTATTTATAATACAACTGTTTTTTTATAAATTTGTTTTGAAAGCTTTTTCCGGCTTTCATTTGTGCACAAAAGTCGAAAGCACTTTTACGTGTACATCAAAGCTAGACAAAGCGAACCTGAAGGCGTAACCGGGACGGGTACCGTCGAACCATTTTCACCCATTTTTCCCCAGTTGCTCACCTTGAATCCCTAAAAGTGGCCGAAAAAACGGGAAGAAGAAGAAAGAAAAGAAACTGCTTCCGAGAGGAGTCTGTTTATCTCCTTGGAGATAATAATTTAATACGGATCCGAATCTGAATGTTAAAAAAGGCTGCCGCCCCTGCCGAAAAGCGCCTCATTGTTAAAATTCAAACGCACACCAGTTTTCTAATTTCCGATCATACGAGAGTTTCGAGTGCAAACGATTTTCTTCTTTTCTGTGTCTTGTAAGTTCTGTATCTTAAAAATGGGGGGTTAAAAGTAAAAAAGCGATCAATTATTGTAGTAGTGTGAAATATAATTGTCTAGAACACTTAAGTTTAAGGGTTTTTATAAGACCCTAAAGTGCGTGTCTTTCAAACCTTGTATCAGACCATGAGTAGGATTCCGACCTTCGTTGTCCTGTTATGCTGTTTCTTCTTTTTCCTAGCAATACAGGCTTGTATCTGTTGCTCCGAGTCCATTATGAAATACCTTCGAAATCTGCATTGTCCAATCAGCAGTACGACTAAAATTCCGACAATTACTCGACCATAACTTAAGCTTAAATCATTAAAAACCATCAAAAAGTAGATGAAGCAGTATAAAACGTCAAAACAACTTTACAGTAGAGGTTATTTAAAAGTACAGTAAGGACTTACAAACGTACAAGTAGACGACAACCAATAAATATACCCCTTTAAATCAGGCAATTAATCGCTTCCAAACGACGAGCTGGAGCCAAATGGCACCGTACGAGGTACCCTTCAAACCGTCAACTTCTTAATAAACTGACGACTAAATTAAGAATTGAACTTTCCAAACTAAGGGCTGAACGATTCAGGAGATACATAACTAATCGAATGACTGAAGATAAATCACTTTGGGCAGCAACTCAACACATCCTTTCCTACCGTAATACATCCCTTCTACTTCTCAATGACGACGGATCATGGGCCAAGCGAAACTAAGAAAAAGCCAGCACCTTTCAAAACCTTTCTGCCGTCATCCTGACATTGTAATTATACCAAAAACATAGAAAAGGAACTAGTCAAACCACTACCCACTTCCCCGAAAACTTTTCATCTTTCAGAAATCGAGCACATCGTCGAAAACCTTCCCAAAAAGAAAGCTTCAGGTATTTCCATGTTATCAGCAACGAAATACTTCACTACTTCCCGAAAACAGCAATCCTATTACTAACATACCATAATGCTGTCCTAAGAACTACCAACTTTCTTTTACAATGGAAAGAAAATAAAAAGAGTTATTTGCCTTTAATGCCGCCTGGCTCTTCAAGAAAATTCATTATTGATTTATATAAGCTCAAATCTGCACATGGATGTACATATATTCACCCACAGAGTTCAGCAGACCCTCTGCAATTCAGCTATTGTAATTTACTGTAAATTACCAGCAGGTCTCGAAAATCACCACCTCGGTTTGAGCAGTTGATCTTATCTGCTCCGGGGACTCTC